TGGCATCTGTACCTTGGCTTTCCTTGCAGCATGATTAATGTGCCCACCAAAAGCAAAGCCAGGCTAGTAATTGGGAAGGTGATAGCATGATTTGATTGTGCTGTCTCAGTACGGGCTAGTTGTATTGTATTTCAAATTTGATGACACCTATCGCATTCTATTGCTGTCACATTTTAATCTTGCATGCAGAAGTCGGGCGTCCTCCAAGTATTCTGTGTTTGCTTGCTCACCAAGTGCCTTCTTGTGATTTGTGGAAAGATAACTGGCTGTTATCAGAAAAGTTTTTTTTTTAAGTGTGTGCTCTTATAATGAGCGAGCAAGGTAAGATGGATGAACCTGGACAATGGACGCACTGAAAATTTAAATAACGAATGCACCTTCCTGTCGCCATACCATTTCTAGATACGTGCTGTGTATCAGTTGTGGAACTGAAAGGTTTTAAAGTAGGCTTGCTTTACACCAACAAGGACCGAAGGAGAGATATCAAACATTTTAGTAAAAAGATGTAACGTGCTTGTGCTCTTGGTGTTAAAGGGACATTAATGTCAAGGTGAAGCATTAGATCAGTTTAGACATGTAAGTCATTCTTCAAGAATTGCCATGAATTTTACTGTAGTGGGTTAATTATTAACAAATGAAATTTGAAATAAAGTGCAGGCATTAATTTTTGAATTGTGCTGAAACTTCAGCCCGAGACATTGCGAACGAACTTTACTCATTTTGCATATTTTAGCCTCGTATTACAACTAAATTTTCTAAAGCTTGCTATGTCTGGAAGTTGTGTCCCTTGAAATGCATTTGTTCAAAACAAACCATTACGTAGGCCCTCAGAGATGCCATCAGTGTCTATGACATCGTAAGGAACTGGCATGCAAAAAGAAGGTGGTTTTGCCGCCATAATTTTTTTTCAGACTTTATCTAGCGGACTTTGCCGTCTTGCGATAAGAGTGGTGCTTTTGATGTGGTGAAATTTTAACTAGTATAACTAAAACCATTTATCTTTTCAGTGTCCCTTTAGGTCTATCCACCACTGTATCCAAGAAAACGGTGGGTTTTCGGGCAGCTTGTGATTGCAGCCAGTAAAAGCACACATTGCATAGCTAGTATAATACTAGTGTTAGCCTGAAATTTATGACGCCAGGTTGCACCATGTGCTTTTTTTTTTTGAGTACCTAATACTGTTTGGGTGCTCGAGTTTCAAGAATGGTCATGTGTGCAAGCAAAACAATGTACATATTCATTTCAAAGCTTCATTTTTGTAGCTGTTAATAATGAGTGATGGCATATGCAATCACACAAAGTGGGCTTCCTGACGCGGCATACATACGAATTGCTAACAATGTGTTATTGAAAACCCATTCAAAAGCCCATCGCAAACCTAGCCCTCGAATAAATGAATGCAAGAATCACCCATAAAAACATTTAGGCGCTGCTTTTATTGGTCTTTGTATGTTTTCAAACACTGAGTATTTCTTGCCAATCCAACATGTCCGGTGTTGTTTCTATTAGCTAGTAGTTTTGGTTTTGCTGTAACTTCCTTTAAATGTAATTTCTTGACACACTTTTGTCAGGTGAGCACATCGTTCATGTCTGTCTTGCTTAATTATTTGCCGTTTGTTGCATAGTTACTAGACAGCATTACTGTCAATGCTTCTTTTGTTAGTACAACTCCCTCATGCTGTTATATCTTATCATGCATTAATCTCTTGTAAGAACAACTTACAATGAGCAAAGCAGCTTCTAGAAATATAATACTGACAAATGCCTGAACAAATAACATCAAATCCATTCAATCAAGGTAGTAGGCTGATTTGAGTATCACTGTTGCAATGATGCCACTTTATATATATATTTCTATGCTTATATTATCATTATTAATATAATTGTCTAATTTTTTTTTAATGCTTTGGTCACCTAAACACATTGTATCATTCACATTAATGTTTCATGAATCAGGATTGGTAGGAAGCTTTTAAATATCTGTGTCCTACAAAACGCATGTGCAGCTGCTTGCGTTGGTGGATTACACGCTCAAGGTACCAGACAATCGCAGAAATGAGACACCAGCAATGGTGCCTGCCTTCAGACAGATAAACTTTATCCTGACATCTTTCAAACAGATTGCTGAGAAGTTTCGGCTTAGTCAGCTTAGACAGTAACACTACTGCAGCTACATCACAGCTACATCACAACTACTTCAAATAACATCGTGCCCTTTAGTTTTCTTGCCATAATTGCCTGTTAGTTTAGTATTGTGTCTAACAAAGAAAGTCGGCCATGAAATTTACACTTTTTTCTTGATGCAAAAATAGGTATGTCTACTTTTAAAGAAAACAAACGGGTTTCTTGGGAAAATACAATTCTTATGTTTGTTGATGTGCCAGTACTGTAAGACACCAGTTATAGGGCATGCTATAGTGCAAAAGTGGCTTAATTTTGACCAACTTGAGTTCTCCTATGTGTAACTAAAAAGGTATTTAGTATGACTGCTTTTGGATTTCATCACCATATAACAGTAAACACTGTGGTTGGGAGCTGAGCTCGACAAAGGAATCCACTACTGCAGGCAGAACGAGTCATTCCAGGGACGCAAGTCAACAGTAATCAAATGTGGATCACCACCATAGCTTCGCCTGCACAAGGTAACTAGGGTTTTTTCCATGCGATGGCCACTTCTCTATAAAGGTGTTTTATATAGACATCATCCTGCCCAAGGATCAGCACCTGTGTGTCTCCCGTCTTCTGCAGTGTCCTCGTATGGTTGTGTTATTAGTTTGTGGAGAAAAGAAGTGTTAGCAGCCAGCGATCCGAATTACTCGTGGCACCTGGCAGAGCAGAGCTCTACTACGTACTGGCCAACAGCTACAGGAGGCACAGCTTAACTATTGATCTCTAGTGGAATTAACCCCTGATCTAGCTCGTCAAATGAACTGAGGAAAAGCACTGCTAAAATGAAAGGTATCAGCCAACTGCTTTGAGCTACTTTGATGCAACATTATAGTGTAAATACTTTTATAACTTATGTTGACTGCTTTAAAGAAGCTTAACAAAAAATATAGAATGAAAAATAGTTGCTTTGGGGACACAAATAGTTACTTTGGGGACACAACTTTCCATTCAATCCGGGATCTATTGCACAGTGCACTTGATAAATGTGTTTTAATGCATGAACATAGTTGTACGACGACAAATGTAGCAGTGAGTGTGAAGAACTTTGGTACTGTTCAAACTTTTTATGATTGCCTTTTACCTCACTGCCAGTAGTGAACACAATTTCTGAAGGGGAGGAAGGGGGGGCATACTTTGTGTTTGCGCATGCTTATATGTGTGTGTACAATACGCAAGAAAACTGAAAAATTTCAAAAGGAGGGGGTTAAATCCTTTCAACCCCCGTCTTGGCTACGTCTGTACTTACTGCCATATGGTATATGATGGCTGTCGGTCTGCTGGCATGCTCAAAACACATTTGAAACTGTAGAAGTCTTCCATAAGTGTTCTGGCGCTGGGAAATAATGCACTGCACTAGTACAGTGAATAGTAGTGGATAGAAAAATAATTTGGCACTGGCACACAGTACATCGCTGGTACAATCAATGTCAGCTTCACCCAAACACAGTCCTTGATGCCACTTTACAGGCATTTTTGAAATGCAATTACACAATTGGGACTAGTACATTTTGCACATTAACTCAAATGTCAGCAATACGTATACCCTTTTCGATTATTTCCAGTTTGAAGATTCAATGGGCTGCTGAAATTATCAGTTAGGTGTTGCCAAAAGTAGTTAGAGAGTGTATATGCACTTTTTATCCTTTACTGCTCGTTAGATATTTCTCCCAAGATAATACAGAAATGTTTGATGACAAATGAAAGCACCAGAGCCTAATACCACCTACAGTTTAACGTGAACTGTTGAAGGCAATTTCATGATTAACTGCAGTAATTATCAAGAGAGCTTGCTTAGGGATTACCAATTTTAACCCTCTTTTCCAAATGTGGATTGCTGCACTGATAAATTTCAGGTTCAATTTAACTTTATACCATGGCCTATTGGAACACTATGGCAATAATTTCTGTATCACATTCTATATTCTGAAATCCCTTGGAGGCATATGAAAGGAGATTTTTGTAGACTCCTAAACTGCAACTGGCTGCCTTGTGCACTTAAAGCTATATCAAGGATAAATAAAACATTTTCGACATTACATGACTGATCACAAATGAATTTGTGGGCCATGCTGCCACACCAAATTCCCTTTTTCCAAGTTTCCGGACTCGTGTGACTGACACGACTGACACTCTCTAGGCTGCACCAAACTACTTTAACTGTGTATCACCAAATCTAAAAAGTTATTGAAAAGAACTTCTGTATAAAACAGAATGACATTTGATATACCTGTATGAGAACAGATAAAATAGATGCTAAAGGTTCAATCTTTAGTAGAGAGAAAACATCCACTAAAAACATTATGCTGATGGGGGGGCGAGCTAGACATAGTACAATGCTTACCAAGCCCGTTACGCTGTCAACCTTGTCACCAACACATGGCAATACAAGGTGGGGCATGCAAGTGAGAAAGGGTGTTCGAGAGGCACAATGCATGTCGCCACACAAGCCTGGTACCCGGCCAGCAGCTGTAATCACACACTTATTACTGCTTAACACAACTTACGGCAACAAAACTGTTTCAGCGTGCCTATGCAGTGCCACATAAAACAAAGGTGTGACAACAGTGGCTGCCACTCACTTAAAGACGGCTGAAAATGAAGGCCATTCAAGATTGACGCAGCATGTGAAGCTGCTTTAGCCAATAAGGGAAAAGCAAAGCTCCAATTACTTCGACAGTTATCATCAGTGGTATATATATGCATGCAAAATGTTTACTTTTCTTTAGCAAGGCTTAAAACAAGTCAAAAGCGTTGAAGATACTGGCTTTCTCAAATAATCACTTCTCGTAACATTTGAGCAGGAGGTAAGTCATGACATTTGAAAACTCATGCTCAGGTCATGAAAAATTTTTATTTTTATTACTAGCTTGAGCAGGTCACTGGAGAACTTGTCGAAAATAATCTCTGGCAATCAGCAGTCATGCCCCAATGTACTAAACAAGGATTTAAACAGATTCAAAGAATAACAAGTGATTGCATTAAATAAGCATACTGCTGCATCGATTTGCACATTTATTGTACATTGTTTTTTTCTTTTTATTATTTTGATTCAATGTTTGTCTCGATGCTCAGCTGCAGCATTTTTGTTTATGTATTTGCGAAATGATTTTTTGTTGAGATCCACATACGCATATCGCTGCATTGTCTTGTTCGTACCGACCTGCAATCCACTTCTTCTTAAGGTCAGCAGTATCGCAATAAATAAAAAAAAAACTACAGTGATAAATGTCACAATAAAAAAAGAAACAGACAGCTTTTGGTGTCGTTGACAATTGGTAAGTTTTAATTTAAAAATCCGCAACGAGAGGAATGTACATCTGTGTAAAAACAACCTAACGAGCTTGCAGTGCTCTGAACACCTTAACAGCCTAAAATGAAAATAAATCTCTGACTTATATACGTTGAATACCTTGGGGAATAAAACGTCAACTGCACGTTCACCGGTATGCACAACAGTTGAAGAACAGTCCAAGCTTGACTGTTCTTGAGCCTTATGAAAGACTCTTTCAGAAGAGGCGCAAACATTGTCTTACATTCGAGCTACATTTTCATGCCGCGCACATCTTCTATGCTACGTGACATGAGAATCCGTGAATTTGAGCTAAGCACCGGGCAACAACAATCAACAACAATAGAAGTACTGGACATTTGAAAGCACCATATTTTAGTTGACTGTTGTCGCTATAAAATAATAAATAAAAATAATAATAATTGCAAGGCTTTAGTGATATAAACACATCCAAGTCTGACCAGGAATTCACTTCTTCCAACTCTCTGTTCAGTGTTTGTGCAAACCCAGACAAGAATGCGCTCAACTGATAAAACTCGTAATGCCACATATGCTGGAAGCTCAACAACCTTCTGTGTTTCAGGGCTCACATTTTCTGCAACAATTTGTGGTCCCAAACCGCAGAATGTGATACTACTAGGAGGACAGAGCACAGCAAATGCTTTGACTTTCTTGGAGATTTTCTTGGAGCAAGATAAGTCGGTGGTTTAAGGAACCTTCCCCATGTTACACTTGCCTTGACAAGCAAGCACATTATTGCAAGTTCGTGTTTCACACTGCCAAGTAACCAAATAACTATGATTCAGGATCTACAGCATTTCTAAGGAGTCATCAGAGAGTACTCTGCTACCTAGTTAAAATGCTAAGAACGGGCAGTTTTCTTTCTATGTCACTTCTAAACCAACATGAAATTGTTACTAGATCACTGTGAGAAAAAAAATTTTTAAAAAAAGATTAGGTGGAATGTACAATGAAACACCTTGACTGACGAGATGTGCGGTGTGACGCTGGTGTGCACGACAGTAGAGGAACCAAATCTGCCGGTGATGCACTGCCAGCCAACCAGACAGTGGACATGTCGGCATGCTGAGAGCCACATGAGGAAATTTTTAGTTCCCCCCACTCGACCTGTCGCATACCCTGATTGAAAGCTTAATGTTGCAATACGACATGTCTACCCGGCTGGTCAACTGCAGTTAACAAGCAAGACCGAGCACAGTTTCTGCAGTGTTCTTGAGAACTTTTGCGGCACAGAGAGAATTCGGATTGACAGGTGTGTGTCATCGCATTGGCGCATCACAGAAGGCCTTCACACGCTGACTATAAGTGTGTTGCAGGGCTTCACAGGTCCGTAACAACAAATGCGAGGATGACTTGCACGTGGCAACGGGCATCACAGGGTGCGATCACATTAGGTGCATCTCGGCAGCCACGGCGTGAAAGTCCTCGGGGTCTTCTTCCGAGTCAGACTCCGGGTGCGGGAAGCTCATCAGGCTGTTCTTCTTGGTGGGTGCCACCCCCCACTCTTCCACTTTGGCGGAGCCAAAAAGTACGAAGATCACCGCACCAAAAGTGTAGATGGCTGACGCCAGTAGGAACAACTTGCGCCACTGTGCCAGGCTTTCCTGCGTTTGAACATGTGGTTTAAGTAAGGCTCTACTCAAGTATAACGGTCAGATTCACATAAAATCTGATTAGGTCATGCATTGTGTCTAAACAAACACACAAAAATAAACTATGAACTGGGTAACAATGAACTGTGCTCTGAAGCTGATTTATTGCTCTGATAAAATAGAGGCTACCCAGCATTCAGTACTCTTGATGTTTGGTTTACAGAAAAGCTTTTATCTTTTAGAATTTTCACAGTAATTGTAGTAGTAGTCACTATGAGTGTACTCATAGTAGTTATGGTCATAGCCATAGTAGTAGTAGTAGTAGTAGTAGTAGTAGCAGTAGTAGTAGTAGTAAGGGCAGTAGCATGAACCATGTAGGGCACGTGACCAGAGGGAAAGTGTATAAAGAAATAGATAAAATGTAATGATAACTTTCAATACCCAATACCTGGAAAGTTATATGCACTTTCATTTGTACACTAGTTAGAGACATTAATTAAAATAAACCAAAACAAACAAAATCAATTAGCCCTTTAATTATTTACATTAAACGGCGACTTTCATTATTGCAACAAACCAAGGCAAGACACTTAGGCATTGTGAGAGCTCTCTCTAGATAAGGGGGAGCGCACACTGAACAAAATTCTGGCTGCAAATCACGTGGTGGAAGGTGTTCACTGAAATGCCATTGCATGAGCCGGCAGGTCACGCAATGTAGCTTTGGTAAATCAAGTGTAGGCTTGCATATTTCAAGTTTAGTGGCAGATTTACGACACCCCAGGACCTTGCCAGGCAATTGCTTACAGTACCCTAACAACTTTGCAGTTCTTGCAGTGTGTGGGGTTTCGATATGGCGAGCGAGCGCCCCGCCACGCTCTTGTGAACAGACACAGTGGACACGGTCGGTACAAACCTAACAACATACATTTATTTAACTAATTTACAACGACAATATCGTCCGCCGAACCGTTACATCAATCGTTATCAGCCCGCGAAGACATCCTTACACACAATTTCCACACACTCCACGGCAAAACACAACACTACAAACACACAATAACATGATAAACACAATACCACACCCAAAACGGTGTCGCCAACGCTTGACTGACCACGAGGGCCCCCGTTGCGCAGGCCCGCGATGCGCAGACAACCGTTCGCGGCAGCCGCCACGCGCAGAAGAGGCTCGCTCAACTCTCGCCCGCCACCAAGGCCTGCCTTCTGCCAGGGGTCACCGCCGGCACTACCACTCTACCAACAGTGGTACTCAACACGAACACAACGCCACCTATTGCCCGACGGTCGTCACCCGAAATGCGGCCTTGGGGCGAGACACGTGCGCCACACGGCACAAACAACTTTACAGGGGGTGTCAGCACCCCCACATGTGTCAGACTGGCAGAATTTTTCAATTTGTGACTAATGAATTACTGCCAACTCGTATAGGGAATTGCTGCAAATGCAACCTTACAACAGATCTACGTCCTGCAAAAAAAACCACCAAAAACACACAGCACTTTGTGCATCATTTACAACTCGTACGGAGTTCATCCCTCCACATTGCTCTTCCTAAGTGCTGATATTTTTAAGGCATATTTGTGACTTGCATGTAGCTCTCATATAAGTATAAGTACGAAATGAATAAAAATATCTCCACACTTGAAGATAGCAGAGTTAGCCAGATAGGCTCCCGTGTGACCTTTGTAACTGATTAAAACACTCAAAACATGAACACCACTCACTAATTACAGTAAAAGTACAGCTGAACTCCAATTATACGACTTTCAGGGGACCACAAAAAACAGTCGTATAATTGAAATACCTAAAATACAGGCAGTGACACTCAGTCTTGCACAAAAAATGGCTACAGACTGCCTGAATAAGCACACAACACGACCTTGTGCTTCTCCAAGGAAGGTAGATTAAATTACTCTTGCCAATGCATAATTTATCAGTTGAAGCAGGTGTGAGCTAATTTTTATTCTCAACTTTAAAAATCGAATCCAACACACATCTTTCTCCCAATAAATCGAGTCCAAAAATGGCCTGCACATGAAAATGAAGCTGGAACCGCGTTGCCAACAGCCTCCCGTCAGAAGAGTTAGGCACAGTGTCGTCGCCATCACATAATGGCGACGGACCACGAGTTTACGAGGTTGCGTATAATTTATTCATGCTCGATTTAGCTGTGCGCATTGCAATTTGTTGCCTTGCAAAGTGCAACTATTGATGTGCCGCTGTTATGACGAACGTTGATGTCAAGTGAAAGTTACTTTGCACAGTTAAAATAGCTGCATCGCAACCACTTGCTTGCTCAAGCTAGTGAGTGTGAGTGCCACAAACAAAAGCAGGAGATCAGCTGTAGTGCGACAAGCAGGAAGAGTTTCCACAGACCGAAAACATGAAAATATCAGGATCTCAAAAATGAGATTTTTGGCCAGCTGAAGCTACTCTGGACAGAGATTCTCTAGGTAACGACCCTGCATACGCACACGATCGAGGCATATGCAGAAGTGTATGAGAAGCCAGGAAAATAAATTTTCCATTCTAAGACATCCTGTCTCAATCTATACTTTTATAATCATCAATCTATTGGAACACAAGTTAATATTTTGCAGACACAGGTATTTGGTCAACGTTTGATGTGAGTGAAGGTGGTTTTTTTTTTATTTGGAAGAAATTGGAAAGCTGTCGTAAGATGTGGGGTCGGCGTAAAACTGCGCCGGACAGCAGGTAGTTGTGCAGGTCCCAGGCATCTCCACCGCCCAACCTCACGACCGCATTTCTGGCCAGCGACGCTGACGATGTGCAGAAGACAGCCGGTCGTGGATGGGATTCCTCTCGCTGAATACAACCCCCCCCCACCCAAAAAAAACTCGAAAGTAACAATGGAGCAGGGCCTAGAGAAGGAAGCTTCGTGCTTTTCAGACACGTGGTACGTTGGTCAGTACTGCTAGCTAATACATCGGCGGCGGCCGAGACGCCCATCGAAATAAAACAAAAATCACTTTTTGCTAACATCGAGCATCGCAAGATAAAAAAAAAAAGTGAGGGAAGCAGAACGCAACACCTCATCGCCACAATCCACCTAGTTGTGCCACGTGCGAAAGGCGGCTGCGCAGCAGAGCCTTAGGCCTAATGAGTCACTCGGCAACAACCGGCATCCACCCAGCGCCCAGCTTAGGCGTAGAAGAGGCAGCCGCGAGGAGACGTCCACTCTGTGAGATGGCCCTATCGCTCGCTGCACACAGCAGCTTACCGAGCGATCGGCGTCCACCACCCCGGGCGGTGTCACGACACCCCGGCATCGAGCCGCAATACAAGACAGCAATGACGCCCCGCTCCCTCAGCCCAAAGAGATAGAAGAAGCTATTTACAGAAAATCAGACCACCCACGAGGCTTCCGTACTCACTCGCTTCGGGCCTGGCCTACAAACCACGTGCTTTAGGCCTTGCTCACCCCACGATGCAGACCGCATGGCTCTCGTCCCAATTCAACAACGTTTTTGGAAACTAACAACAAAAAAACAACACTTGCAAGCAAAAAAATAAAAAAATAAAAACTCAACCTGCCGACAAATTCAGACGCGTCACAATTACCGATCTCTTCACTCAACACAGCACACCGCCGACGCTAGCAATAAGTTTTCCCTAGGCCTACTCTACTACGACTCTAACAAACGCTTCCACCGAAGCGCAAAAACTGTTATCTGATACTCCAAGAGCCCCGTGCAAAGTAAGCCAGATTTGCAGAATGACGGATGAGCGCCTTAGTGGAATCACCAAAAAAAGTTAGACATGCACCGTAAAACACATAAATAAATTTGTAGATTGCGCAGTTGGTGTTGTTTACATGCTTCCTTTAACGTGCGGTTGTTGTTATATAGGCCAAGCTGGGCGGTGCATTAATAAAAGGTTAGGAGAACGTATGAATGATATATGCAAAGGAATTAGTTCAAACCTCGTTTTCCACTGCAAAAGCTGCGAGTGCCAGCCTCGATTTTTGGGCGTGAGTGTGCTGGTATGCCACATGGACAAATTAACTCGTGAAATAGCTGAAGCGTATTTTATTAGAAAACATGGTGATGGATGCGTGAGCTAACTTTCGGTGGCCTTGCATGACAAAGAGTTTGCGCTTTTAGATAAGGGTTAGCCATTTTATCATTGTACCTTCTTTTTATCAGACCTTTCCCCAGAATATGTCACGTTGCTCACGTTTGCTGTTAAAAGGTTGCCTGTTGTATATATTATCATATGTGCTGCAAATAATAAAATTCAGTTAGTAGTCAGCACTCGTGTTGTCCTCTTTGCTTTCTTTGCCTCGCCTTTCGTTTCACGTTTCTTCTAGAACCTTCGTGCTCGCGCTGCAGCCCTTATTACCATGAATCGTAATCAACCCGCGAAGACATCCTTACACACAATTTCCATACACTCCACGACAAAACACAATAACACTAAAAACACACAATAACATGATAAACACAATACAATAACACTAAAAACACACAATAACATGATAAACACAATACAATACCCAAGGCGGTGTCGCCAACGCTTGACTGACCACGAGGGCCCCCGTTGCGCAGGCCCGCGATGCGCAGACAACCGTTCGCGGCAGCCGCCACGCGCAGAAGAGGCTCGCTCAACTCTCGCCCGCCACCAAGGCCTGCCTTCTGCCAGGGGTCACCGCCGGCACTACCACTCTACCAACAGTGGTACTCAACACGAACACAACGCCACCTATTGCCCGACGGTCGTCACCCGAAATGCGGCCTTGGGGCGAGACACGTGCGCCACACGGCACAAACAACTTTACAGGGGGTGTCAGCACCCCCCACAAGTGTCAGACTGGCAGAATTTTTCAATTTGTGACTAATGAATTACTGCCAACTCGTATAGGGAATTGCTGCAAATGCAACCTTACAACAGATCTACGTCCTGCAAAAAAAACCACCAAAAACACACAGCACTTTGTGCATCATTTACAACTCGTACGGAGTTCATCCCTCCAC